TCGAGGCAGTTACACAGTGCTTACAACTGTCCCAGGAAGTGAAAGCACCAGAAAATAAATCAACTCATACGCAGCTGTCATCCGTACGCAAGGAAGTAAGCACAAGATGACGAAAACCCTTAGCAGGATGCAGCGCACCCTTCATGCGACTCGCCGAATACCTCACGGCGCTTCTCGCTTGGTGATGTGAGAGCCTGGTCCAGTGAGAACCCGGCGTGCTCCGTCCCGGCTTTGTAGGGATGCGAGGTCAATGGTCTAACCGCTAAGACATGCAAAACATAAGAGTACGCCCCCCCGCCCCTCCTTCTTTCTTTCTCTCTCTCTCTCTCTCTCTCTCTCTCTCTCTCTCTCGTTTCTCTCTCTCTCTCTCTCTCGTTTCTCTCTGCCCCTCCGCTCTCCAATGTTTATTGATGTTGTACCCAACAGGAAGAACACTAGTCTGGTGGCGTCCTTCACGGGACACACGTCGTGGGTGCTGAGCGTGGACTGCTGTCCAGACGGTCGGCACTTCGCCACAGGGTATGCACCTGCTCCCCGTCATCCTCATCCTGCTGTTGTTCGCTGACGCATTCCTTATATATTATGCCATGAATCACGTCATGCCTGAAGGATGCGAAGCTTGGTTCGCGCCGACACACAAACGCATGCGCGTGCAAACGGGAGGGGTGCATGCGCTTCAGAACGATTCATTCCACGCACCAAACGGTTGACCTGTGACAACGGAAGGCGTCCGTGTCAGTTGGATCGGTGCAGAGTTACACGGCACCTCCCAGAGAACGGAACGATCGTTTGTGTCAAGGTAGCAAGACATCGAAAGCACGGGTTCCCTCGCTGCGTCTGCCCATGTTCTTGTGTGCTTGATGTTTTCGACTCATTGGAACACCACAGGGGAAGTGACCACACGGTTAAGATCTGGGATATGGCCGCGAAGGAATGCGTCCACACCTTCGACTCGGCACACAACAACCAGGTCTACTCACACGCTCCAGTTGCACGCCTCCGTTCGTGCTGTGAAGAGTTGATGGCCTTGACGCTTGTGACACCTAGTGTTTTCGATCCTTTTGCTACCGCTTGTAGTGAATCCGGGCAAATCATTAGGATCCCGGCTTGTGATCATGCGCCTTCCACACCATCAGCAGAAAAAATGTTGCTCGATTATTTTATAGATCTAATGGCTTCTCTGCTGTTGTGTGAACGCGAGTATGATTTCGCTGGTGGGTTTCCTGACCTGTTCCTTTTGTTCCCGGCGTGCTTTATTCGAGACCCAACAAACAATGCCCTCTCTAAACCTTTTGTATCATTCTGCTTGCTTATTCTGGTGGCGGTGGGGCTCCCTTCGTTGGGTGTGGCGTCGTCCGCTGTTGTTAGGTGTGGAGCGTGGCGTACAGCCCAGCGGGGGATAAACTGGTGTCCGGCTGCGATGACGGAGTGCTGCAGGTCTTCGAAAAGGCGGCATGACTCAGCCTTTGATGTATCCGTAAGCATGTTACCGCGTGGTGGGAGTTGTAATTTTGTAGCTGAGAAAAGAGGGCGTGAAAAGAGGGAAAAATCGTCGACGTACTCTGGGGGGATGGAGCACCCTTGGTGAAGGTGACGGGGTAGTCGTCGGTACCCGACCGCCCGGCCGTTGGGTCGATTGTTTCGCCTCATCACTGTCTGCTGTGGCTTCTGCGACGCGAACGAACCGCCTCCGCCGCGACGTAATAGCAGTTTCACGAATTCGAACAATGTTGTTGGTCCCTCATCATTCATTGTTTATTTTCTTTTTTCCTGCCGCGTTTCCAAGACATGTTTTCCTATATGAGTGTGTAGCGGGAATCAACCTGGCTTTCCTTCCACCCAAACCAGGCATCTCACCGCGACGCCAATGTGAAAAGGGCGCACCACCCCGTCGACAGGCAGCAGGCTTTCGGGAAATGGTACCCTGTTTTCAATCGTCACCTCTCCACGGATTCCGATGCAATATTTACAGCATTAGGTTTGGTTCCCTGCCAGGAGATGGTCATGTGGCCAAGGGTGGTTAGGTTCGAGAACAGGTTGGGCGGGGCAAAACCCGGATTGGAGGGGGTGGTGCCGCAGTGTTATCCTTGAGGCTTGCTTGAAGTTACAAGTTGTGCTGACAAAAGGCAGGCAGGTACATTTGTACAGGGTGCTTGTGTCGACTCACGCATGTCGTTTCCAAACCGATGACGCGGCTACCGCTACCCCGCCGATGTGTTTTTCTTACGTGAAAAGTGTCCCCCATATAGACTAATGTACATCATGTACACAGTAGTTTCGCAAGCCGGTTGTAGCTGCGCCCCCCGTTTGGAAACTGGGCGAGATTGCGCGGTTCCGTTTGAACGCCCTGCCCGGAGAGAGTGCAAACTGGAATTTTGCACTACAATGGGACAGCAGATAGCACCCGTCACGACGCTAGGAAGTCGAGTTGGAAGTGGCATACCGCCTTGAAACGCCAGAATGCCCACAGCAGCATGGCTGAGGAACACACTGCGCGCTCGCTCCGGGAATGTGTATGTAAGTAAACCTCCTGCGACTGTTGTGTGTATCCCCGTCGACTTATGTAATGCCACAGGCTTGCTTCGACGGGGCGATGGCCATGAACGCTCGGGGCAGGGGAGTGNCTCCCCTGCCCCGAGCGTTCATGGCCATCGCCCTGTCGAAGCAAGCCTGTGGCATTACATGTGTTGACCGAAATACACACAACAGTCACAGGAGCCTTACACCGGATTACACACATCAGTCACAGGAGCCCTACTTACATACACGTTCACATGGACGGAGAGAGCGAGGAGTGTGTCCATCAGCCATGCTGCTGTGGGCATACTGGCGTTTCAAGGCGGTATGCCACTTTCAACTCGACTTCCTAGCGTCATGAAGGGTGCATTCGCGATATTCGCCGACACCCGCACAGACAAGAGTAGACTAGACTATTAGGGCACAGATGGGGGAGGCCAACAACATAAAAATCACAGAACATCGTACAGCAGTACGTAACACCGTATACATAGCCCAGCAGGCGCTTACTCTACTTGTATCAGCGATTCGCGGGCAGCAGCAGGAAGGAAGGAGTTGTTGAATCTACCCATGCATGCACGTAACCTCTGTATGGTCTACTTGCTATACTTGTTGCACGGGTGAAATGGTGGCATTTATTTCATTACCTAACATGTCAGTGTAGACTATAACCCGCAGCACAGCAGGCAGGGGCTGCTGAAACGTGTCTACATGCATATCTATCACGGCCGGCAAAGCTCTCCCTTATCTCTTCGCTTCGTGCTCCTTATACTGCCACACGGACAACAACAACACACAACACACAATTACCGCCGGCCCGGCCTAATACGCAAGCACTCACTGGTTGCGGTATTTGTTCCCCGCGCTTGAGCCCGATCGTGCTTGCACGTCCTGGGTCTTCGCGGAAGCTATGACGTGGGCGTGGTGCACGCTGCACCGACCCGAGTGCTCGGTAGCAGATACTTTGACAGCTGCAGGGGCCATGCTGGGCATGGGCTCGAGCTCGGTCAAGTGCTGGCAATACTCCCCTCCAACGGCGGCAAAACATAAGGATACGCCCCACGGCGGCGGCAATTTCGAAGGCGGAAGCACGCGCCATTTTGTTGTTTGTGCCAGCTTCCGATGGTGGATTGTCGGCTAGTAAGACACCAACTGATTGTGGCAGGCCGTTGCGTTGCTGGCCTTGCACGCCTCGACGTCGGGTGCTGGCAATTCCATAGCTTGCTCCATAGTTAGTGTGCTTTGTGTTTACAGGAGCTCTAGAGAGCTGGCAGGGCTCACAATGGGTGGGGACACAGACAAGTACAGAAGTACTCAAGTATTACCAACAAAGGGTCTTGACTGATGACTCCGGTGCCCTCTTCTGCCTGATAATGGACAAAATAGATCTACTGAAAATAGAGTTGTTGAGGCACCTTGACGACTGATCATTGCAAAGTTTAGAAGGCCAACCTGCCGTTGCCGCCGCACCGCGACCTCGTTTTGTACTTATGAAGAATGGCACGGATCGGAGTCATCGCACGGGGGGGTGCGTCGTACTTTCAGGACCAAATATTTCATTCGTGTCCCGGGCAGGCATCGGGTACATGGCACGTATCGGCGTCTTGGCACCCCTGTGCGATAGGAAAAACGATAATGAAAACATTTTAAAGGACGATCGCACAGAGTGGGCCAAGACCCGCATTCTTACGGTACCCCGGTATTGTCTGCTACAACCCCATGAAGAGACAGACCAACCAAACAGCCGAGAGGCCCGGAAGATCGCGAACGAACTCAAGAATAACGATCTTCCAGATGTGACGTCATGTGCGGTATTTTTCGGAGATGAGTTTCGGAGATCGGAGACATGACGCCCAGCGTTGAACTTTGACCGGCACTTCGACCCCTACGTAACAGCAGGGACAGAGCAAAAGAGTCAAAGAGTGGCTGGGAGTCCGGCTATCCACGGCGCCCGCAGCCCGCACGGCCTTCATCACAAAGGACTCTACCTTAGGCGTCACCACGGGCGGCAAGTGCCCGCTCAGACGGCAGGCTTTCCTCCCTTCTCAAACAGTCAGAAAGAACATGTCGCCTCCCCATCCCCTCGATCAGCTCAGGTGAGCACCGCTGCTGTTCTGTACTCGTCCCACGGGTTACAGAGGGAAGCGGTGATATTGGATTGTCCAGAGAGAATGGTCACGAGATTCGACGGTTGGATCACCTGCAGGAGGTAAAATGTGTGCTCACGCTGCTGCTGCCCAAATATATATTTTCAACCCGGCTGCTGTTGCTGTGCTGTTCTGTTCACTGATAGCGCCGCCGAGATAACGGCCGTGGCAACAGCGATCAAGGAGAGCGATTATGGCGGGAACCCGGAGGGCGCAGCCGCGCCTCGCTTCAACGCCATCACGCTGGCCGAGCCTGCCAAAGCCGACCTCATAGAAGCCTCCCTCGTGTGTCCCAGGAAGGCCCAGGTATGCATGTACGCACTGACTTCATTACCCCAGAGGTGTAACTGCCCGCGGGTGGGGCGCGTATCTCTGAATCGAAGCACAAATTTTACCGTTTCATGCATGGGAGCGGGCGGGCCTATTGGGAAGTTTTCGCACCAATAGGAGGAAACCCACCGGTTGTATCGCTGGGTGCTATCGCTACCGCGGGGGTGCGAAAACATCGAAATATTACCTTTCGTGCGTGAGATTGACTGTGTACTTCTGGCTATGCGGGCACCTGGTTGTTCTGGAACGGTTATTCGCTGACATTAGCGTTTACTCTTGTGTGTGTGTGCACCTTACTCCGAATCCCATTTTGTACCGCAGAGCTGTTGGTCAGCTGGTACCCGTGCGCCGCTTCGCTGTCATCCAGTACCTGTCGGAGTGCCTGTACAGAACACCGTAGCACCAGCACGGTCGCTATGGTGTACTCGGCGTCGCACGTATCCGAAGTATCGCACCGGGGGTGCTCTTTGAACTGCACGAGAAAGAATAGTCATCACTACTACTGTGCATGTATTTCCGCAGCAGTGCCGGGGTTCGCACCTGTCTTGCTTTTGGCACCGCACCGGGGGTACGATAAAAAGCTAAGAGAGCAATGGAAACAGTGATCGCACCAGTTCACTCACTCGTATGGCCACGTCACGCTTGACGCTGCCCTCCTGTCCTGCGGCTGCTACGACAGCATTTCACCGTATAGGTGGTGATGCTCCAACTCCCCCCGAGTGGGAAGGCGATGGCGCGCCTGCAAAAGCACTCTTGCATAAGTCTGTCTTCTTGCTATCCAAACTCCTACCACCTTGATTTCTCGCCCTGAGTACGACACCCTCTACATTCGATGCCGCACGCTACGCTCATTGAAAGGTAATATTCATGGTATCGGAATCCACGGCTGCGTACGAGGCGCTTGTGGAGATCACGTCAGCGATCGGCAGCGATCCGCCTGTGGCTGCGGTAGTTTCTTGCAACCCGCTGGGCCAAGGCTTTCAGCCGCTGCTGTCGCCCGACGATTGCGATCTTGCGGAGAAGATCGTGAAGCTTGACGCCGGGGTGGCAAAGCTGCTGGAGGAGCGATACGGCATAACGGACATCGGTGTGTGTGTGTGTGTGTTTTTATTATTTGCATCGACGGCGTTGACCTGCTGACCAATGAAAAGACGTTAGTCTTAGCGCGGTTGAAAACAAAAAACACTTCTATCTGCCATGAACTGGGACCCCGTGAGAGGGCAGGATGGGGGAGGCGAACCTATCCTTCGGATCAAAGACAGAAACAGCAGCAACAGCAGAAAACTGCACGTGTCTACCAAGGCTGCTACCTTGTACACGAGTTCGTTTAGGAGTGCTTTCACCATTGTCCTCCTTGTTTTCGCTACCATCATTCTGATCGTCGTTTTGACAAGAATCTCTGGGCAGTTCTTTCCTAGCCTTACGTTCGTTCTTTTGGGGAAGATAATCTGGCTCAAGCCCTTTGCTCTCTTCCACTCCTCCATGTTTTCCTCCTCCATCGTCGTCTTCGTCCTCCTTTCTTCCATTTCCCTTTCCTTCGTCTCCGTCACTCCCAAAAGAAATACCCTCATTACGATCGTTGTCGCAGAGATCCCAACCGATTGGCCCTGGTGAAAGTTGGTCGAGCAGTAGCCCATGACGTTTGAACACATCGCGAGTTTGTATCGACAGAAAACGAGCTAGCTCGAAGGTGAACTGTCTCCGAATCCTGTTAGCATTGTGTGTGTGTGTGTGTTTATTCTGAGCATCGACCGCTAACCGGCTGACCAATGAAAAGACGTCAGTCTCGGTGCAGTTGAAAACACAAAACACTTCTAAATGCCAATATCTGGAATTCGTGAGGAGGCGGCATGGGGGAGACCAACCTATATTATTGTATCCGGATCGAAAATAGAAATGGTAGCAACAGAAAAAAACTGCACACGTCTACCAAGGCTGCTACCTTGAACATGTGTGTGTGTGTGTGAGAGAGAGAGAGAGAGAGATAGATAGATAGATAGATAGATAGATAGAGAGAGAGAGAGAGAGAGAGAGAGAGAGAGAGAGACTCGCTGATGGAGCCCTTGCCTAATGCTTTAGATCCAGCGAATCTATCTTGCGAGTGTGGGCTAGCAAGTGAGCAGAGACGGCGGTAGAACAAAGGCTTCCGCCATTTTGGTGCATTCACCTTCTTTGTGTCTCCTCTCGACGTCTGTAGCTGCTTTGGATATTTATATTTCCCAACACGCGATTCATGTAATACCATCGCCTGCGAATTGGCGTTTAGGTCTCGCTCGGGCTCATACCTGATGACGCCAACAGCAGGTGCTAGAGAACTAGGCATCGGCCACATCGGGACCTTGTCGCTCGTTTAAAAAGATCTCGGTCGCGGCGGCTGTTGCGTCCAAAACTCCTGTCCGTACCCTCTGTGCGCCGTGCCTTGGAAACCGTGCTTTGTTACATAGGTTTGCTCGCTTGCGATCCTTGGAGCTATCATGTCACGGTCGGCGACCGCAGCACCCCACCCCTGGGTTGGCGCGACGACAGGCTTCCCGCGAGACTTGTCCAAACGTTCCTCTACATGCGCGACGACGCCGACGACAACCACTACGCTCATCCGGTAAAAATGGGTTGCGCCGCCCGCCGCTTAAACTTGCTTGGCGCTGCGAAAGGCTAGACCTACCTGTGGTGCGCTTTTGCTGACGTGATCGAAAGGTGTACTGATTTGTGTGACTTCTGCGTAAGCCAGAGGGCGTGCAAGGGTAGAAAGGGGTGCAGTTTTCCTTTCCGGTAGGTCTCGTCACAACCTCTTGTGTGGCATCGGTTGGCCGCCCCCGTACGTGTCAAAGGTGAGCCTTTTCAACCCCTTCTTTGAGCGTGTCCACCACATGCGTGCTACGAGCAGATGCTTGGCCACCATAACTCGCAGTTCAGTTTCTACCTTGACAAATCACTCCTGCAACATATCCCGTTGTTAATATACATCCGCTTGCGTTCCCGCCGTTTGCCTTGTTTCTCACGAACGTACAAACACATCCGCGCCCCTGCTGCCTCCCCTACACTGCCAAACCCGCCGGACCATGGCCGCCGCCGCCAACGCCGCAGCTTGATATGCTTCCGGTGGTGGATCTCAACGCCCAAAAGGTGGTCCACGTCGACAAGCAGGTCGCCGCCCCCAAGGTGCCCAAGGACTCCGTCAACTACCATCGCAACAGGGTCGCCAGCAACACGTACCTCCCGACGCAGTTCCGCTCTGATCCGCCGCGCCCGCTGGAGATCACCCAGCCCGATGGCCCGTCGTTCTCAGTGGACGGGAGCTTGGTCTCGTGGCAGCGGTGGATGCTGCGCATCGGCTTTAACTACAGGGAAGGGCTAGTGCTTCATGACGTCAAGTTCGACGGCCGTCCGGTGATGTGGCGCGGCAGCCTCGTCGAGATGGCGGTCCCATACGGGGACCCCAAAGAGCCGTTCACGAGGAAGTGCGCCTTCGACGTCGGGGACTACGGTCTTGGGTTCTGCACGAACTCACTCGAGCTGGGTTGCGACTGCCTCGGCCACATCCACTACTTCGACGCGACGCTGAATGACAGCCGTGGGCAGCCGTACGAAGTCAAGAAGGCAGTGTGCATGCACGAGGAGGACGCGGGACTCCTGTGGAAGCACGTTGAGTACAGGAACGGGCACAACGAGAGCCGCCGGTCGAGGAGGCTGGTCCTGTCATTCATCGCGACTGTTGTCAACTACGAGTGAGTTGGTAGCCTTCAGTCCACGGGCTTGAAACGGCAGAGAAGCTGCGCAGTGCTCCGCAGGTCACAACGGAATGCTGACGATGTGGCATCGGTTTCCCATTTGCATATGCTGTCCAGGGTTCAACCGCAATGCGCTGCGCGCTTTGGCGGCTGAGCCACACACTCAGCCAGTCAGTCCGTTCAGCCCGCCCTCTACCTACCCAGCCCCCCTCGATGATGCTGCATCGCCCCCCGCGCGTCGTGTCCTTATCATTCACTGCTGCCCTACTGTCGTGCGTTCCGCGCACCAAAAGGTATCTGTTCTACTGGTACCTGATGCAAGATGGCCGCATCGAGTTCGAGATAAAGCTATCGGGCGAGCTTTCGACGAACCTTCTCTCGGAAGGCGAGTCGACCCCGCAGCATGGCGTCATCGTGGCTCCTGGGGTCAACGCTCAGCTCCACCAGGCATGGATGACTCCGGTTAAGAATATCGTTCTCTCTCTCTCTCTCTCTCTCTCTCTCTCTCTCTCTCTCTCTCTCTCTC